TAACGACTTTCAATTAATTACTACTTATACAATTTATTGTATTACTTTATAATCCATATTATTTTTTACTCCTTCGTGCATTAATTAATACTCAGTATTAAATGTTGGTTTATATGGGAAAACTAACATGAATTGCAACCGCGAGGTGAATACAAAGTGGAAATGCAAGTAGAATAAGACACCTGCAAAATCCGGAGAACGAATCCCGGGGCAGGCATCTGTAACTGAGGAACAATGGGATTTCTCAATCGTCCTGGCACTTTAATCGATTAAGGTCCTTCCTCGGATCGAGCCCTATCTGTGTATCGCGGAGGTGCGGCCAGGTATTCGGCAAGGCTAATTGAATGCGAATCGACGAAACAGCGTCTCGCGTGTGGGATTCGCGTATAATTAAAGCCGATCGATCCGAGCCGTATCGACGCGGAGATTATTTTAACGGGATACTGCGTTAGCCGCGTAGGAATCTCTCGTTAACTCGCAACCGTATCGGAGATCCTATGTATGTAACGGAGTTTATCCGATTAAAGTGCATCGGGGATTCGTTTAACTTAACACCTCGTCGATACGTCGATATCTCGCCGTCGTTAACTCGATGAATGATAGCAATAATTGCCAGTTTTGACGATCGCCGAGCGGACGTTTCAATTTTATGCTCGTAAAACGCGATTGTAAATTCTTTAGCTAGTTAAGAGGATTGACGAGATAATCAATGAACCCTGTGGACATAGAGTGAAACGTTAATGTCTCCACAATTGTATACGTTTCCTAATGAATTGTCATGCCTTTGTATTTCCGATAAGTATTAAAATGCAATTATAATCAATGAGAATTGAATATAAAGTATCATACGCAATTCCCATTTGCGTTTTATTTCTTATAACGACGTTTTGCAAAGTCTACGATTAGTCATAATTCCAACGACCACCGCATGCTGTTCGCCGCACGCGGGTAATCATAACAGGAAGTGGGTGAAACGCCACCCTCGCAAGCTGCACGACGCTGGCCATGTGCGTCGCGTTTCGTCGCGCACTCACCTGCGCCAGCGCATAGTACGCGCGTGCACTAGTCGCATACGCGCGCGTTCCCGTCGCTTCGGAGGTGCACGCGTTCGCATTCGCCCTCACGTTACTCTCTGAGTTTCCTGCCTGCTTCTTCCCTTCGTCGACCGGTGCCGGGCCGGGGGTCCGTGTACGCGCGTACGTAAGCAAACCTGTTGTTACCGCTCCTCCCCGCCATTATCTCTCTCACGCATCGGCGCCGATTTTTATAGGCGAGGTGATTCACGAGGCAAGTTCATCAAGCCTCCTCCCCCCTAGCCCCCCCTTGCCTTGTTCCTTCCGTGGGCGCGCAACCAGCGCGCTTTCACGGGAATTAGAGAACACCGTCCATATCCCATCCCGTAGCTTCGCTCTCTGAGACGCCCTTGAATTCGTCGGCCGTGTGTTATCGCATTCTTTTCTGCCGGGGGTGATGGATTTGGCGAGGTTCGAGTCGTATTAACCTTTGCCTCGCCGATACCTATGTACCCGGTTTGCCGAAGGAGTGACATAATTCAAGGAACTATGCACAGCATTTTTCAAGAAACGGCTTGAAATATTTCATGCTCATTAATTTCTATTAAAACCATTTACTAAGCAAGACTGCCGTCCCTCTTGTAATTTAGTTTGTAAGTTCCTCAGTGTCTTTAATAAAGTAACTCCACTTATAAAGTTAATTATTACATACAAATCACTTTACAATAATTAATATGTTAAACTTTGACATGTTACAAAAAAAAAACAGTTGACACATTAATAAAGATAAACTTCAGGTTTTAAGGAACATTAGAAAATCTGAATTTCGTGTATGATAAGAAATAGTTAGAAATGTATAATTTCGGAGTCAATAAAACATGGAATTACGACATGTGCATGGGAACGAATGGATAACAAGATGTAATTAAATTTGCGAATCCTGTTTTCCTTGAAGCATACGATGAACGCTAGCAGTGGACCCACCGAATGTTTTTGCATGCAAGATATTTTCTACTTATGTCATATAAGAAATTTTACGCTCGCAGTTTCAGCAGGAAGGTTACGGCTTCCTGTTTTCGATCGTCGAGGCGTCTCGTGCGTCGCGTCGTAAACGGGCGAAACGATCACCGAGCGTCGCGATACTCGCGGTTATTGAATTTGTATGGAACACTGCCTAAGTACGTTTCGGTCCCCCCCATCGAAGACGCGACGTATCGGAGAATGCGGCTGCTAAATCGAATAACGGTATCGGTATTTATGCCGTTCATTAATGTCCCTTGCCGTTCTTACGTCGATCGGTATCGAGAAACGGGTGAATACGCAATAACAAGTTGCGATTTGACACGAAAAACGATATGAATAAGCAAGTTTTTCTACACTCGTTTCCACTTCATAGCCAATCGCTGCTAATCGCTCGTTGAGACATAAGTAATGAATAATCTAATAAAAATATATCAACTTATGATTAATTATTCACGACTGTGCAACTCGGTTTTATTAGAAGTTTTTATCTGATCCTACTTTTCTTAGCTATTTGACCGAATAATCTACTGTCTCATTGATCTTAGATTAACTATACGATAATACCGAAAGATCAAGAGGATACGGAATTGAAGTCGAAAAGCGAAAGCGAAGCGAACATTTACAATAGTAGACCAAGGAGAGTGGAAGCTGAGGCGTGAGTGGGAGGACGGCCGAGATACCTAGTCGTTATCGTTCTTCTTGAATCTAACGCGGATGAAATTCCAAGGCAGCAGTGCCGGGTGTACAAATGGACGATGCGGCCACGAGGACGTCCGCAGTTTCCTGCTCGCCCGTCCCGATCAACGGCGACGATCAGCTGTTACGCGGCCCACCCACACACCCACGTGCGCACCTGAATGCAGGCCAGGCCGCGAGGAATCCGCTCCTGTTCAAGACTCCGACCGGTCTACAATGATCCTCTTTTTGTCGCGATTATTACACCGCTGAAATACTTACGCGTCCGCTGGCACGTCCCCTTAACGACACGAAGTGCCTTTTGATGACAGTTCTCGGTGAAAGTCGCTTTGGAACGAATCTGATACGAATATGATTGCAGCAAGAATAATATCAGATATTGTAGATATTTTTGGATACGACAGGATATTATTAAGGTGTAACATTTGTTCCAACACGATCAAACAATTAATAGAAAAACTTGTATAACATGAAAATGATTTATCCAGAACTGCGTCAGTATTTTAAAATGTTACTGCAATTAGGTTTGATAAATTAAAGTTCATTAAAGAATGGAGAATGTTATCTATAATACAAAACAATCTACACTGAACTACTATTTAATAATGTAAAGAATTCTTGAATTTATGTGATATTATTTAACAGTGTAGAAAAAAACTATGAATGTAGATGACTCGATAAGAAATGAGAATTAAAAATCCACGTGAATAAGGAGCTGTGGAAATGGGGAGAGAACGTGAGGAAGAATATGAATACATTACGTATTTCGATTTGATCCGAGTTGAAAGAGTAATCCCGACGCAAAGCAGATTCCGCCTTTAATATGACAATATGTATGCCAAGGGAGGGACGTAATAGAGTTCACCTAAATCACCGCTATAATACAGCCGTGGCCGAAACGAGAACTGGGATTATAAAGACAATGACCCTGGCAGCAAGTCAGGTACCAAACCGGCACAATAATTCAAAGGGACATCTAATTCATAAGAGAAACTCGTTTTTATTCCTGTTACGAGAGTTAGAGGTCAGGTTTTGAACTGTGGCGTAAAACGGGAACCAGATGAAACTATAAATATTTGTAAATAATAATTTTTTCGCTGATCTTTTATTTCTCTAAACATTCTTCTGTATTTTAACATAAATAATTAACCTTCGTTTTGCAACCATAAATTTTAATAGGTATTTTGATTGGCAGGGTTATTAAAATAATTAAAGAAGAATTTATTGTATTTTCAATCGAAATAGCATCTTGATAAATAATTTGGAATCTGCATACATTTAATGAACTTTACAGACAATAAATGTTGTATACGAATAAAACTCATAAGCAAACGTTCACTCATATTATTATTAGTTCTGATCCACGACATCCGCTGCCATAGAATCAAAAATCGTCTCGCTTATAATGGCCGCGATACCTAAAAAGAGCCTGTACCACGTTGGACAAGGTCACCCCTATGTGTCCGCGTGTCGCGACGAATCAAGAGGAATCTGTGTAAACGAAAACCCGCATGCATCCTCTCCCTCATAGACCCGATCTCACCGCGCAGAGTGGATCGAGATCGGTCAGGGAATTTACTGAACGGGTGCGAGACGCATGTAGCTCTGTGTTCAACTGGCGAGGTCACTAAGAGCATGTGTTATACGGGGTGAGTCACAATTCTATTACCTATATAAATGTATCTATAATTTTCTTCTATATATGCTATTAAAAAAAAGAAATCATGTGCAATGAATCTATTAAAGTGTATAAATACTAACTATATTCCATTATTATTGGTGATATAAGAATTCGTTCATGGTTAAGAGAATTAAGTACGGTCAAGAAAAGCCAAGAGAAGCCAAGAGAACAAGGGCCGCGAGCCCTCCGGTAGCAGGAGAACGCGTAACCGAAGGGGGTCCGTTGGACTGGGCGTTCTTTAAGATGTCCGATCTCTTCGCGGCGCGGAATCAATATTGTTGGATTGGCTCGATAACACCTCGTAAATATAATAAAGACCTCTACCCTCGCGGTCGTCCGCGGCACAGGGCAGCTCAGTCTTAACAGAGATAATGGTCGAGGCCCTGGGCACCCGGTAGGCCTCTGCCTCCGCCACGGGGTTCGATGGAAGGGTCTCAACTCGCCCCTCTACACACTCGCCCCGTCCCACTCTGTCTTTCTCTTCGATCGCGTGCCTCTTCGTCCCTCTACCGTGGACGCAACACGTCGCGGTCGTAGCTGGCGGACGGAGCGCAACACCGAGTCAGTGAGATTCAGCCCGAGCCGGCGAACGGTTGTGGCTCTCGGCGCGTCCTTTGCATCCGCTCGTCCGTTCGCGTTCCACCATTCGCCCCGGACCGTTCTACGAACTCTCCGTGTTCCACGACAGTGTGTGTGGTCCCAGGATCTCGTCCACCCGACACGGTTCGAACGCTATAAAAACGCAGCTCGATCCGGGAGTGACACGAAGTTCCATCGATCGATCTTCCACGATTTCTCAAGTGTCACCGTCCGCAGATCGACGCAACGCGGACTGCCGAAACGATAGCAACTGGTGGCCACCGGAGGACCGGCCAGGATTCGATCCGCGAGGGAGAGGATCGGAGGATCGGTCGCGAGTGCACGCGGAGACTTCGACGACTGGAGCGAGGATGTCGCGCTGCGCGGACCACCCTGACTGTCGTTGTCACCGTGTACCGGTACGGTGACGACGATCCCTTTGCTCTGCGATTCTACGCCGAGGCACGCGTGTACGCGATTATCCTTCCTGAAACAATTTCCGCGAACAGACTCGATTCCCCGAGTGTAATTGTTTAGTATTCAACCAGAAATCCTAGATATTATACAATAGCAATATCATAGTATGTTCGAATGAAGATATTCTGAAATCCTGTAAAACAGTGTTATGATCGTGAACAGGGAAGAGGTCGATGGTTTCGTAGCAAAGACACGGTCTAATCGTTTGGAAAAGTGTTTAATAGTTTTTATGGGAAGTGATCGTCTCTCGGACGATGGTACGAGGTATGGCAATGAGTAATTCGATGTCCAGTGCGAGGAAGAGCGTGTGATTAATAGAAGAACCATCGGAAGGGAAGCGATTGTTCATGAAAGTGCCGATCCCAAGGATAGTGTGAGCGTGACCGAGACGCCCGTGGGAAGCTGTACCAATCCTGGATTAACGCACGCCGGAAATCGCAGAATGGAGGACGTAGTGAGTACATTACATATTGCGAATCAATCATGCGGTTACCGTCGATATTTTCTGTTCGTCCTTTAAACAGGTGGTTTTCCAATGAAATCTTCGTATAGTAAATGTGCGAATTTCTACTCACTTCCTTAAGATCGCATATTCAATTATGGGAACAGACAGTGAGTAGAAATTGAGACATTTATTAAACTGTACAAACGTGATTGCAATAAATATTAATAGAACTCGCAGATAGACATTAATAAGCCGTATCATATTTCTATACGCTTATTACTTGTGTGCATACATGCCCACTTGACATTTATTGCAAGTTTACACGAGATTGGAATACCAGAGACATGTATTAAACCGCAATCAATGGTGAAAACAGCCGAAACGTGTGACGTTGTAACTTAAAACGGAATGTCAATGAAAAACGCGTTGAAACGGAGACGACGAGGACAGATCGGGTGACGTGTTATTATCCGGAATCGGTTGGACGCGCGTTTCGCAACCTCTCCTCGCATCACGAATCGGTCCCGGGTCCCGGCACCGTCCTAAACGTCGTAATCACAGGGTACCGCGCAAATGATGTACGATCGTCGAACACTGACCGCACGACGACGCGCGATAGTTCGTAATTATAAGATGAAAATCGTGAACAGGTACGTATGTATGTATGTACGTATGTATGTATGTGTGCACGTAAGTAAGCAAAGTGGCGTACAGTGGGTACGAGAAATCTTCTAGTGTGCAATTATGTAGTCGAAAACAAACACGATCACCCTGATCCCTCAACGGCACGACATAGATTATAGTTTTTTAGAACGTGAATTTCGTCGGTCTATGCGTGATACGGTGATAATTTATGGAGGAATTCCAAAATTATTTGAGCGTGTTACATCGCAATAAAAACAGATATTTTTTACTTTTCGTTAGTGACGATTCGAACATCCTGCAGACTACCATTAATTCTTTTCAATGTTAGTTTTAATTATACTGTTTACCATATGAATGATCGGATTGATGGAATAACTAAAATTGATTGAATATTCTGGCATGCAGCTTGGAACAATGAATCCCATTTTTGTGAATAACCCAAAATAGTAATAGATCTATGTTTCATTAAATACAAACAGATTTTTTATAATTAAAAATCAAAGAACTGAATTTTACATTAATATCGTTTTACATTTTAATTATATTTTAGAAATGAAGTGTACATATACACATTTTTAAATTAAGAAAGAAGTGGAAATTGGCTTCTCCCAAAAATTTTATGTATACATAAAAAGCTAGTGGGAGAAATAAAAAAATGATCAAACACTTAAATTTTTATTGATGTACTATTTATTTAACGTTTATTTGCATTCAATTCCGAAATAAAATTATATGAATAATTATTTCTTAATAAAATTGTTTTAATTTTAAAACGTCAAAAAGCAGGTAAGATCGAATATTGAGAAAACAAGGCATAGATTTATTACTATTTTAGAATCTCGTTCCCGTATGAAGAATTAAACAACGTGTCGAGATTCATTGTCCCAAGCTATACAAACTTAAGAGGATATTAAGTCATAAACACCGACTAGTTTCCGAGTCTTCGTAATGTACATAACGTGAAAGTCGTTGCATGATGACGATAGTTGGCCAAGTACACTGTGATTCATCCGCAGAAATAGCAATAATAGTCATTGTGTTAGGAACCTCGTTAGAAAATAGCGATCCAACATTGATCTAAATTATCGGTTTGTCAGCCGCCCTCTCTTCGCCCAGAGAATCCTCGCGCTTATCTCCTTTCATTCTCGCCGATGATAAATGCTTTACGCATCATCTCGCGTAATACATACTAGGTAGTTAGATACTACCTACAATGAAGGAAAAAAATGGCCGCCGAGATTTATTGAATCGATATGCCTAGTTGGTGTAAGTTAGCAGACGCTGATTGCAATCAACTCCGACGAGAATCTAACGGTCGTGTCATTCTGAAACCCATTTCGCGAACAAAACGTAGACGCCGAGGATGAATAGAACGTTCATTAATTGAGAAACTCCAAATTAGTTGAACGCCTAATGATCCCCGTCCCACCGACACCGTCGATGGTATTGCATATTTAAGTTTCACTTTGTGTCGTTCGTTCCGCCGCGTCGAATCCGAAGGAACAATGACACGCAACTGTGAAAGTGATTTTAATCCCGTGTAATTAACCAACGAGAAAGATGATGTTGCCAATGTACTTTCTGACAACAATAGCTTTATCAACATTATCGAACTTATTCGCTATTTAATTATAAGCGTGACCGAAGAAAATTTCACACGCGAATGAAGTGAGCTAATTTTATAATGTAATCAAGTAATGAATGATAATTCTATTACGTAAGCTTTATTATCATTAAATATTTGTTACTCTAGTATAGACATGATTAAGATGCTTTATTTCCATTTCTTAGGGAATTCTCCATTTATTAAATATCCCAAATAAATGGAAATTAGACAGTATAGAATGTCTTAATTTTTGTTCACGTTCTAATTTCTACTTACTGACTTATTTTCCTATAATTGTAAGTGTCATATAGGATCATACGATCTGCTAAAGGTTAAAAAGTTAATAATATGCATATAATTCTATCGTTATTAGACATAGAAAAATGCGGCAGTGAACCGAAATTGGGACATTTACTATACTTCTATTTAAAACGGAATGATATTTACAAGACATGATGCGACTATCGCGATTTAAACAGCTGGCGATGAATTGCAGTCGACACGGCGGAATCGCACGTGGGAACCGGCGAATTAAAGTAACCCAGAGGGAGGCGCGTACAGTCCATACCACAATAACATCCTTGCAAACATTGCTTCGTTTGCAACACAAAATAATCCTTGCTCATTCTACAATTTCGAAATAACTAATTTTTTATCTTACGGTTTACGCTTGAGATAAAATTTTCTGCAAATCCAGCAGGATTTCTAAACTTTAAAATTCCATACTACACATCGCATGGTCGTTGAAGAAATGGTTGTATCAATATCTGCAGAACTAATTACCGGGTCGTAAAGATAACGCGTGCATCGTAAATGCAACTTCAATAAAAAGATGATCCGTTGCAAGTGGCAGTCCGATAACCGTGGGTTTCTGGATTATCGCAGTCGCTGGCTCATTAGGCGGGTTTGCGGTGACAGACTGTACCTGCCAGAAGTACTCTGGATGGATGAGCGTCGACGCGCGTGACAGCCGGCGTATTAAGGCAGCGACAGACAAATTTCCGAAGCGCGCGGTCGCAAAAAACGCGGCCGCTCCGCGGAGAGGAAGCTCGACTTTCGTCCTCGGCCTCAGTCCGGTCGACGCTCAGGAAGGGAGGGATCGTCGCCGTCGCTCGGTGGCTCGTTACGCCCCGGTCGATTAGTCTTCCAAGAGGCGACTTCGCCGCGTTCGCCAACTTACACGTGTGCAGGGGGCCCCCGCATCACAGCTCGCGTACGCCAGCCGGACAAGCAAATTCATTAAAACCGGTTCATTTAATAGGCGCGCGCATTACGCGCTCGCTGAAATTTCACCGCGCCGAGACGAAACGCTCGCTCGATGACGAAATGTGTCTCACAGTTTTTCTCCCGTTCCTTTTTCTCTTCTACTTCTCATTCCTACCCCGTCTCGTTGGTCGCGTTTCGAGCTGCATAGTTAGAGAAAACGGATTGCACGGAGCATGTGACGGACCAAGGACTAAAGATGATTGAACCGCAGAATGCGAATAGCTTTGCTCAGCTTGATGAGTTACGCATTTTCCACTTCTATATTAACTTAACGTTGATTTTTCGAAATTAATCTAGTCATCAGAGAGAACTGTTGTTTTTAAATAATTAAAGCTGCGAAATTATAAGATTGATCTCTATGTTCTTCCTGATAATTAAAAGTCATATCTAAAATTTTACAACGTCTTAGAATAAGAACAAATAAAAGCTATGAGTTCCCCAGCTGCTAACAGAAAGTAAAACACATCCAGTTAAAAGCAAATTAGGTTTCTAATTCTGCTAATAGTCTACAAACTTCTTCGAACCTCACTCCTCACACACTATTTAACTCGTTTCATAGTTGAACTTGGAAAGTGAGAAAGTGACACAGACCGAGTCTCTATCCTGAACCACGCGTGAAAGCAGGACGCGCGTTCGCTTATTAGTTCGCATTGGCCGGCCTCGCGGCGGGACAATGAGCCGGGGATTGCATATTGTTGTTTATATTTACGCGGCATGGCATAAATCTTCGTTTAACTCACATTCAGCACTGAGTTCTCGCGACAAATACGACTTTCGATGTGCGCGCGCGCGCGCGCGCGGATCGCTCCGAGCGAGTGAGAATCGCGATGCGCACACGCTTCGTCACGGACAAAGCGCGGTCTTCATTAAAGCCTAGCCTCTTTGCGTGCCGGCCGATCATTAAGGACCGAGGACCGGCCTACGACTAATTTGTACTGTAAATGAGATCTCGGGGATCGTTACCCCGTGAAACAACGCCGCTTCGAGACGAGACTTCCCCCACGGATTATTTTCTCCGCTTGTTGGTAATTTCGGCACGATAACGCCTCTTCGTTCTTACGATAAATCGATTTAACTATACGATATCTAGTAATACTATCTCTATCCTTGAGTTTATTTTGTAATTAAATGATTTGATTAATCTTATTTAACTATTATATAAAAATAAAGCATTCTATGTTAGCAATAATCTTAAAAACTAGCTAGTAATTATATAAAAGAAGTATTTAAAATGTTTATCCTGATAAGAAAGAGTAATCATTCTAGTGTGCCATTAAAATAATCTGCAGCGTTGAATTGATGTTAGTTCATGATAAAAGCAGATAATTGGATGTTAGTGCATTAATAACGTAAATTGCCTGAAGAAAGTTGTTAATGGAATGTACATTAATGCAACATTGATTCATAATGGAAAAAAATCTGTTACGTATCTACTAGTATCTCTGAAGATACTCTCAACTGCACAATGGATGATGAAATGTCGTAGGTAGAT